CTCTCTCTCTCTCTCTCTCTCTCTCTCTCTCTCTCTCTCTCTCTCTCTCTCTCTCTCTGTTACTTTTATGAATACCTTTGATTTAAATTTCATTTATCAAAGAATCGTTCCTCACAGTCAACAAAGAGAAGCAGCGTATATCTCACGGTCGCAAAATCTGTAAACATGTGACCTACATAACCTTAGAAAATACAGTATGCATGTATGTACACTGGTCGATCGTACTCACGCTGAAACAATGAAAATAAATTACAAAGAAACTCACTGTGATATCTTCACTCAATTTACATTGAGTGTTTATAATAATTCCCGTGAGATGTGATGTGTTTTCTTCGTTTTCTCGGGAAACATCGCTGTGAAGAACACGATCTGGTATACGATAGAAATCCCATAATATTCAAGAAGCTGTTCGTCAGAAGGCTAACCTGACGGGATAATCATGAAACAAAGATTAGAAGAGCGCTGGTTATCCAAACCTAAACCGCTTATCGAGCTTCGACAACTTTTAGTACACTGTCGATTGTTCATGCATTAATCATTACGCATTAATCATGTATATATATATCTCGTCTGTACGCAGGTAAACCGTAATACAACGTACATGTGCCCGATGTGCTCAGGTGAATAACGTGGAAAATTACTCGCGCAGAACGAAGCTTCCTTTCTTTCCGTCTTTTTTTACACAGTTATTATTACGTGTCACAGTGACAGCGCGGCGAAAACAACGCGACAAGATATTTTCTATTGTTGAATTGGCTGGTTTCCTTTCTCCTATCCAATTTTATCTATTGCGTCGTCTACAATGGCAGTAGAAGCAGTAGTAAGAAATAAGCGGTAAGCAAATTGACCAATTCCATTCTCACGATTCAAGAATAATCGATTGTGATCGGTCCATTTACTTACTGCTTATTACTACTCCTCTTACTACTCTTACTACTACTCCTACTGCCATTTTAAGTCTCGAAAGTGTACACTAGTTCAGCAATAGAATAGATATCTCATAAGGAGAGAGAGAAAATAAACACACTAATCACTAAGGACGCGACGAGGTCCGGTGGTAGGCTCGGCGTCCTCGTTACGCGAACAGGGGGTGAAGAGCGCGCGTAGCGCGCTAGCGGCGAGTCGCGCAGTTGAGCGCGAGACTTCGTCGGGGCAAGTTCAGTTGGGTGGACGTTCGCTTCTACTCGCCGTTAGTGTCGCCTCGTATCGACCTGTGGATCAAGTCATCGGCAGGATCGGAATCGTGTCAGTTGACAAGTCCTCTTTTTCTCCTCTCGCTCCCCGCGTCTCTGCGAAGATTGGCGAAGATCGAGAGAGAAACTGTGTGAGAGTCGATCGTGCGCTTGGAAGGTCGCGATCGAGAGGCTGATCGCTGAGCGTCAGTCTCGCGCGAGATCCCGTCGAGGCGTGTTTACGTATAACACGGGCGAGACGTTTCTTCGCGGATCGTTTCTCGGAGCCATTAATCTCGCAAACTGTCAGTTGGAAGTGTAGCAGTGGTAGCGGCGGCGGCGGCGGCGGCGGTGGTTTAACCTCCTCTCCCTTCGGAATCACCGGTGTGTATGTGCATATGTAGAGTTGTACCTTTTGTGTGAATGTACCCGCTGCTCTTGTTTCCGCCGGGATTCATTCCGTGACGTATATACCTGTTCGAGAAGCGTCGATCGGTCAAGTCGGTGATTTAATGATAAAGCGCGAGAAGTTGCTTTTGTACGCTGTAACGGATTCTCCATTTTGTGGAGTTGAAAGCGTTCTACCGTGACGAACTTCACCCGGCTAGAATTCTTCTCACGAAGAATGTCGATGCTCTTCAACTCTTGTTTCATTCGTTTCATATCATCTTCCGCGCGCGTTTCATAATCCACTGGTAACTCTTGGACGAACCAAAAACATATTTCAGACGGGCTCCAAGTTTATCGTGTGCGTCACGGTGCAACCAGAAACTAGTTTAACCGTTCTTTGAGCAACTTATGTTTCTTTATATAACGAGAGAGAGAGAGA